CATATAGAAAAAACAAAAAAAAAAAAAAAAAAAAAAAAAACACTGTCCATACAAATATTTGGACATAAATGTCAAAGTAGCTTCACGCATTAATAGTCAAAAACTAGAAATAACCCAACTGTCCATACATACTCACCATTAAACACACACACAGCAACACTGATACATCTTGAGATCACCATGCCAAAAGAAAAAACAAATTTAAAAGCATATACAGGATGGGCCAACAGGTGGCATGGAACAGTCAACTACATGGGAGTCCAGCGACATAGCCATTACGCCAACTGCTAGTCCCAAAATAAAATAATTCTTAAAAAAAGAAACAAAAAAGCACATACAGGGACCAGCTTAGCAAAGTGGTTAAGGGCTGCGCATTGAGAGATGGATCTCACATGGCAACCATAGTCTGAGTCCTGGCCCTAGTACGATAAACAACACAAATGCGACAGGCATGTGCGTGCGCATGTGCGCGTTCAAGATCATGAAGGAGGGCCAGCAGGTGGCATGGTGGTGAAGGCACTGGACTCCCATATGGCTGACCGTGGTTCAAGTCCCAGACCTAGAGGCCTGCTTTCTCACTTTCTTTCTCTCTCTCTCTTTCTTTGGTCAAACTAAAAAATAACAATAATGCAATAATGGGGCCAGCAGGTCACAAGTCATTGAGGCACTGGACTCCCCAATGGCTGACCACGGTTCAAGTCCTCGATCTGGAAGCTTGATTTCTCACTTTCCCTCTCCCTCTCTCCATGTCTCTCTCCAGTCAAATGAAATTTAAAAAATAATAATAATAAATATTTTTTTTAAATAATAAAAAATAAATAAAAAAACTCTGATGGGGTGGAGAGATGGAGAAAGAACTGTTGTGTAACCATGCCCCTTTGTGGGGTGCTCCCATTCTCTCTTTTGCGTGCATACAGCGCAAGTAGCTGTGCCCTCTGGAAATGAAAAAACAATAAAATACTGAACGACTCTGTATAAAATTCTAGAAAATGCAATCTAACATATAATGACAGAAAGCAAATCAATGGCTCCTTAGAAATGAGGGTGGAGTGAGAAATGAATTAGGAAGGGGCACAAGAAAACTTTTGGGAATGATGAAAATGTTCAACATCTCGCTTATGATGATGATTTAATGAGTAAAATGTACACTCTAAAATTGTACAGCTTCTGTATGTCGATTATACCTCCATAAAGTATATAGAAAATAAGTTACGTAAATAATGTGTTAAACAATAAATAAACAAGCCAGGTGCAGTGGTAGGCACCTGTTTCTTTCTTACTTTTCCTCCCTTCTGTCTCTCTCTGGTCAAATTTAAAAAATAATAATGATGGGGACCAGCAGGTGGCACAGAGGTTAAGGGCGCTGGACTCCCATATGGCTGATTGCAGTATGAGTCTTGAACCTGGCAGCTTGTTTTCTCACTTTCCCTCTCTCTCACTGTCCCTCTCTGGTCAAATTAAAATATAAATAAAGTTAAATAAAATAATTCTTTAAAAAAATAATAATGACGATGAATAAAATTAAATAATTATTTTCTTTAAAAGAAAGCTAGGACCAGCAGAAGACACAATGGTTACATTGCTGGACTCCCATGTAGTCGACTGTGATTCAAGTCCCAGAATTTGGCAATTGAAACTCATGCCAGGTACGTGTGCATAAAGCCCAAAATCCCGACAGGAGAATGGAGGAGAAGGGATTGCATCCTTCCTGGGGGGGTGATTTCTCACTTTCTGTCTCCCTATCTCTCTGGTGAGTGCACGCGCCCTAAAGCAAAAATCCCTCAAAAAAAAAGCCTTCAGGACCAGCAGCTTTAAAACTCAAGCCAAGTGCATATGCATGCATGTCCAAAATCATGAGAAGATAATGGAGAAGGGATTGCAGTGTGGCCATCCCATCTCTGTGGGGTAATTTCTCGCCTTCTGTCTCTCTCTCTCTGTGTCTCTCCTCCGAGTGCACATTCCCTATAGCAAAAATCTTGGTACCCCCTCTCCCCCCCAAAAAAGCCTTCAAGGGCTAGCAGATGTCATGGAGGTTAAGGAGACTGGATCCTACATTACTGACTGAGCCATTCAAATCCCAGCCCACCAGCTTTAAAATCATGCCTGGTCCGTGTGTATGTGCCCAAAGTCCCAAGAGGAGAATGGAAGAGAAGAGACTGCGGTATAGCCATCTCCCCTGGGAGATAATTTCTCACTTTTTCTCTCATCTTTCTCTGGCAAGCCCATATGTCTTACAGGAAACAACAACAAAAAAGCCTTCAATCGCCTTTCCTTTTTTAAAAGAGATTTTTGCTACATAGCGCATGGACTTGCCCGAGAGAGAGCGAGCGAGCGCGAGAGCGCAAGCAAGAAATCACCTGCAGGGGTGGCCATGCCATAATACTTTCTCCTCCATTCTCCTCTTGAGATTTTGGGCACACATGCACATGCGCCCAGCGCTGAGTTTCAAGTTGTAGGGTCTGGGACTCTATCTGCAGTAGGTCACATGGGAGTCTAGTGCTTTAACCACTAGTCACCTGCTGGCCCCAGTATTTTGATTTTAAAAACTCCCAGAGGGCATGTGTGCATATCAGAGAGAGACAGAAAGATAGGAGGAAGAAAACACCCTCTAACGGGCCATGATCATGCTACAATCCCTTCTCTTCCATTTCCCAGCCAGTTGGGATTCTGGGCAAGTACGAAGAGGCACTCAGTGTTTTTCAAACCACTGGAACTGGAATTTGAGCAGTGGCTGGCCATGTGAGATGTCATTCCCTTAACCATTAGACTACAGGATTGACCCCAGGATACCATTTGTTTAATTTATTTATTTTAAACAAATTATTTATTTATTTAATGTGTCGTTTTTTATTTTTGAATTAGACCAGAGAGAGGCAAAGAGAGAAAGGAAAAGTGAGAAAGCAAGCAGTCAGGTCCAGGACTTAAACCACAGTCAGCCATGTGGGAGTCTAGCACCACTTCACCTGCTGGCTCCAGGATAGCATTTCTTAAAACAATAAAATTAACTGGCACCATTTCATATATTTAGTCATACACAGGACAGAGAAAAACAAAGATAACCAAATAGGTTGGTTGATAATGCAAACAAATAAACAGTTTCAATGTCCTATGACTTGATTAAGGATTACAATAAATATATTACTAGGGGGCAAAGAAACCGAAATCTAAGAAGGTCTATCAATGGAGTTAACATTTTAATTCATTGACTTTTTTTTTTTTTTTTTTTGAGATTTTCCCTATTTCTGTCTCTCCCATGGTACACATGCCCTATAGCAAAAATCGCTCAAAAAAAAGACAGAGAGACAGAAAGTGAGAAATCACCCCCAGGGGGATGTGCATACCATAATCCCTCCTCCTTCATTCTCTTGTTAGGACCTTGGGCACACACACACGCCCGGTGTGAGCCTTAAGCTGCAGGGTCTGGGACTTGAACTGCAGTCACCTACATGTGAGTCCAGCAACATAACCATTACACCATCTGCTGGACCCTAATTAACTGACTTAAATACCAAGTAGGAGTTTGTGAAAGGGAAAGGAATATTCTAGCTTTAGAAAAGCACTCATACAAAAGTTAAGTTCAAGAATTTGACCTCTGTGGGGACTAGTGAGTTGAGAAATACGGCTGCAGTAAAGGTCTGGAAAGTTGAGTACTATGGAGGACCTGGCTGGCAAGGAAGAACCACAGGAAGTTTTATAAGCAGGATTGCTAACATGATTAGGTTCACAATTCAGGGTTAAAAATTCCATTTTGTAATACGTACTCATTATCCTCTTCACCTTGCCTTGCCCTTTTGGCCAGATGCTCATCTTCTAGTTCTGTTAGATTCTTAAATTCTTTCTCACTACTAATTATGTTGAATACTAAAACAAAACAAAACAAAATACCAAAATACCATGAGCTAAAGTAGTTTTTTCTATAATTTTATCAATATTTCAGCTCTAACACTGAAAGACTCACCTTTTTCCACCTGTATCCTAAATGCATTTCTTTTTCTTCGACCATAGTCTATACTGAAAAAAATAACAAGAAGTTTACTATAATGGTTTCCACCAATATTTTTCCATTAAGTGCAACTTAAATGGATCACACACATTTGTATGCATATTTAATTATGTCATTGTGTTCACACTGGCCATAAACCTATCTTCAACTTCTGACTTTATATTTTCACTACTGTGATTTTACTGAATTTTATTCCTTTTATTCTTTGTATGTTTTTACTTTGAAATTTCAAATCTACTAAAAAACCTGAAAGAAATAAAATAATGAACACCATATATTCTTTTTATACTTTCAATGATTAAACATTTTGCCACCATTATTTTACCTCTCTCTATGTTCAAAGATCTTTTTTTTTTTTTTTTTTTTTGACAGAATCATGTGAAGGGCCAGCCAGTGGAGTGGTGGTTAAGGTGGCTGGATCTCACATGGCCGACCACATGGTTTGAGTCCCAGCCTGAAAAACACCCTGGGTGCATGTGCATGGGTGACCAAAATCCCAAAAGCAGAGATGGAGGAGAGGGGACTAAAAAGTGACCAGTCTCCATGAAAGGATGCTTCTCTCTTCCTCCCAAGTGAATGCACATGTCCTCTAACAAATGGAAGGGAGGAAGGAAAAGAAAGGAAGAAAGAAGTTATGGACACATCATCTCAAAATTCTCAGTATGTTGAGAATAGCTGTTGAACTGGAGATTCTAAAGAATAGGACCAATGGTACCATCCATTTGCAAACATGTGATATCCTTCAAGAAAAGGGAAGGATGACCCCAAAGGTTTGGAAGTTAGCAGGACTACCACTCCCACCACGGCGTAGGGGGCACAGTTCCAGGGGTTAGGCTACTTCCTTCTAGATTCCAGAGGATAGGATTACCACCTACTGCTCACAGGACAAAGAATCAAGCCAAGGAGAATTATCTGGACTATTCTCAAGGCTTAATATCTAATGGAATTTGCCTTGATAGGTTTTAGACATGCTAGGAACCAAGGAGCCTCTTCTTCTTTCCAACTGCTCTGCTTTGGAATGAGAATGTCTTATTCTAAGCTTTCCCAGCACTACACCCTGAAAGCAGATAACTCATCTGGTTTCAAATGTTCATAGATGGGGGCCAGCAGGTGGTGTGATAGTTAGGGTGCTGGACTCCCGCATGGCCAATTGCGGTTTGAATCCTGGACCTGGCAGCTTGCTTTCTCACTTTCTCTCTCACTGGTGAGTGCATGTGCCCTATGGTAAATTTAAAAATAATAATAATAATAATAAATTAATAATTCTTTAAAAACAAACAAAAAAGAAACAAAGGTTCATAGATGGAGAAAAATTTTACCTCAGGATGAATTATACTTTGAGTCTACCTGGCTTAGATAATATTTACAGGAGATTTTGTACTTAAGAGTTGATGCTGGGGCCAGCAAGTGGTGTGGTGGTTAAGGTGCTAGAATTCCCACATGGCTGACCATGGTTTGAGTCCTGGACCTGGCAGCTTGCTCTCTCTCTCTCTCTCTCTCTCTCTCGGTCTTTCTCTGGCAAAACTCATGATAATAATAATAAATAAAGTTAAATAAAATAATTAAAAAAAAAAAGAGTTGATGCTGAGGGGCTAGCAGGTGGTATGGTGGTTAAGGTGCTGGACTCCCATGTGGCCAACTCCAGTTCAAGTCCTGGACCTGATGACTTGCTTTTGTGCTTTCTCTCTATCTCTCCGTCTGTGTCTCTCCCTCGTGACCATGTGTGCCCTATAGCAAATTAAATAATAAATAAATAAAATTAAATAAATAATTCTTATAAAATAAGAAACACCCTGCATGTATTATTTAATTTATTCTTTAAAACATTTTCCCCACTTTCCATATGAATGGAGATATTAGTATTTAGTTAGGTGAAAGCATGCACTATTTTTTGAATTAAAAAATATATATATTCATTTACCAGAGGGTTTATGTGCTTGTCAGAGAGAGAACATACCCTCCCCAATGGGGAATGGTCAAGCCCAATCATTTTACTCCATTTTTCCATCTTATCAGGATTTGGAGCATGTGCATGCTCACCCCTAAAAAAAAAAAAAAGGAGTTATGCTGATGGGTTTTTGGAGTATCAGAATGAAATGAGTATATCTGCCTGCAAGGACATATATTTGGGGGAGCTAAAAGATAGAGTGCAATGAATGGTCTGAACTGTCTCTCCCAAATTCATATGGCAAAGTCCTAACCTCCAGCATCTCAGAATGTTTTTGTATTTGGATAAAGCTATAAGAATTGCTTTAGGGCACAAGCGCTCACCAGAGAGACAGAGAGAGAGAGGGAGAGAGATAGAGTGGGAAATCACCCTCCGGGGGGATAGCCACAACACAATCTCTTCTCCTCTGTTCTCCTCTCGGGATTTTGGGCACACACGCACACACACACCCAGCATGTTTCAAACCGCCAGGTCCAGGACTCAAACCATGGTCGACCACATGGGAGTCTAGTCCCTTAGCCATTAGGCCACCCACTGGCTCTCATATAGATGGGTTCTAATATACTATGGTATCCTTATAAGAAGAGGTTGGGGGGCTGACAGGTGGCATGGTGGTTAAGGGTGCTGGATTCCCACATGGCCGACCATGGTTCGAGTCCTGGACCTGGTAGGCTTGCTTTCTCTCTCTCGCTGTCCCTCTCCAGTCAAATTTAAATAAATAAATAAAGTAATAAAGTTGAATAAAATAATTCTTTAAAAAAAAAAAAGAAGAAGTTAGGACAAGCATGTATAAAGAAAAGACCACGAGAAGACAAAAAGAAGACAGCCATCTACAAGCTAAGAAGACAGACCTTGGAAAAAACCAGTCCTACTGATACCTTGATTTTGGACTTCTAGCCTCCCAGAACTTGAGACAGTAAGTTTCTGTTATTTAAGCCACTATTCTGTGTACACTGTTATGGCAGTGCTAGCAAACTAATAAAAAGACTACGAAGGAAAAGAAAATAAAGATATTGAAACATACAAAGCACAGATAATTAATGAAGCAAGATAGCAGAAGAGCTGGGTTTAGAGGCACAAGAATTTAATCTTCAGTAGGAAGACTGAATGAATAATACATTTACAAATAAAGAATAGGAAGATTATGCCTGATAGTTTTAATTTTTTAGTGAGGCATGAAAGGAAATAATATACTATCGTCTAAATCTCCTGATTAGTCTGTGAGATATTAAAAGGTAAGTAGTAACTATTTCTCCTAATAAAAAGGACAGCTCATTTCTTATGTGTTTGGTAAACACTTGTGTAACTGAATTGATTTCCAAGTTTATGGACTGGTAAACTAATGCCAATAGCTATTGATATCTATTGGAAATTTAAGCAGGATGGAAATCTTAAATGGCAAACTATAAATGTAATTTTTTTTAAGGTCTTAGCCATAGGACATGTACACTCACTGGAGAGAGGCAGGGACAGAAAGAGGGAACATAAAACATCCCCCAGGGTGATGTCCATGTGCATTCCCTTCTCCTCCATTCTGCTCTTGGGATTCAACCTTACACACCTAGTGTGATTTTCAAACTGCTGGGGCTCGGACTCAAATCGTGGTCGACCATTGGGAATCTAGTGCCATTATCACCATGCCACCCACTGGTCTATGGTAATTTTTTAAAGTAAGAGCAAGGGTCTGGAGACTATGTATTTTTACCTGTACATTCTTTGCAAATCAGATGCTAAGGCTCCAATGTCCACATATTTGCCACATCTGTTACTTGTGAGGTACTAAAACAGAAAATGTAACAAACAGAAAACACTCAATATTTCAAACTCAGTGATTTTAATCAATAAACAAGGTATTATAAACATTATAGTTCAATGTAAACTTTACATTAATAAAACCTACTAGAAACATAAATAAACATTACCAAATAATTGTCAAGTTTGGAATAGAGAATTAATTAACATTATTAATCACAGTGATAAAACAGTAATAACCACAGTAACTAGAATTATAAGGTAGTGGGTGAGAGGTTACTATATCCTACATTCCCAAACACTCCAGAACACTCAGTAAACTCACAGGGCACTATGGGATTTTTTTAAAAAACAATTATTTAATTTTATTTATTACTATTATTGGAGAGTTAGAAAGTCACATGTATTTTTACATAGAAAAACATGGAAAAACATGTCATGGCTGTCCCAATGACTGAATATTATTATGATGATTTTAATTTGCTATAGAGCACATGCCCTCACCAGAGAGAGTAAGAGGAAAAATGAGAAAGCAGACCACCAGGTCTGGGACCTGAACTGCATGTGGGAGTCCAGTGACTCAACCACCAAGCTACCTGCTGGCTCCACCACGGGATATTTTAAATTTAGGAACACAGGAATATTCTATATCTGTCAGTCACTGCAGGAACTGTTAGGGTAAGGCAATTTAGTTTCAACACTGAATAATCTTCTGATGATGTATCTCTGTAAAACTGGATTCAGAGGTTGCTGTGATAAAAGGCAAGTACCATGCAAAAACTATGTGGGACATGACATGAGAATGGCAGTTGTCAATATGATTCCAAGAACTGTGAAGTTGTGCAGTACCCACCAGGCACACAATCCTGGAAGGGACTATAACATGTCTATTCTCCATGAGAGCTGGGGTTAACCATCTCCCTTCTCCCTGTTTCTCTCTGGTGAGCATGCTTGCCTTTTCAAAAAAAAAAAAGGAAATTAGGACAAAAAAGTAAGCAGAGATAAGAATATGTAAGGCTTCTTAGATCTGGTTTTACTGCAGAAATCTTGAGAGTCCACTGAAAGATTTTGAGCAGGACTCTATCAAGTTATATTTTTCTTTTAAAAGGATCTCTCTGGCTACTCTCTGGAGTACAGTCTTTAGGTAAAAAATAGAACCAAAGAGTTCAGTTTGTAGGTTATTACAACAGTCTAACAAAAATATTATTGTAGGGTCCAGCAGGTGGTATGGTAGTTAGGGTGTTGGACTCCCACATGGCTGACTATGGTTAGTCTCAGACCTGGTGGTTTCCTTTCTCACTTCCCTCTCCATCTTTCTCTGCCTCTCTCTGGTCAACTAAAAATTAATTAAATAATTCTTTTAAAAAAAGTGGTAGTTTGGGGGGGGCAGCAGGTGGTGTGGTGATTAAGGTGCTGGACTCCTTGTGGGTGTGAAACAAATGGTGAGTATTTGAATTGGTCCCTCTTATTACAGTATTGAAATTAAGTCTACTTAATTTATCAAGTCATGTTCATGTCCTGATTTTATATACTTGTATCTATCAATAAACACTGTGATACTTGGGAAAAAAAAAAAGGTGGACTCCTTCATGACTAACCACAGTTTGAGTCCTGAACATGGTGGCTTGCTTTCTCACCTTCTCTTTGCTCTCTTGCTCGCTCTCTCTCTCTCTCACACACACACTCTATCCCTCTCTGGTCAAATTAAAATAAATAAATAAATAAACAGACAAATAAAGTTAAATAAAATAACTCCTTAAATTAGATAAATTTTTAAAAACAAAAAACGATGGGGGCCGGCAGGCAGCATAGTGGTTAAGATGCTAGACTCTCCACATGGCCAACTGCAGTTCGAGTTCCGGACCTGGTGGCTTGAAACTCATTCCAGGAGTGTGTGTGTGTGTATACCCAAAATCTGGAGAGGAGAATGGAGAAGGGACTGAGGTGTAGCCATGCCTCCCCAACCCCACCCTGGGGTGATTTCTGACTTTCTCTTTGTCTCTGTGGCCAAGATTCCATACACTCTATAGCAAAAAAACACTTCATAAAAAAAAGTGATGGTGGCTTGGACTAGGATAGTTAAAGGCAGAGCCGGTAAGAAACACTTGAGTTTGGAATATATTTTGAAGGTAAAGCCAATTAGACTGTTGATAGATTGGATGCAGAAGAGAAAGAAAGAAATCACAATGATCAGGTTTTTGGTTTCAATAATTGGATGGATGGTAGTATTGTTTACTAAGATACACAACACTAACTAAAGACAAGTTTAAAGGGAAAAAGTGAAAAGTTCAGTTTGGACAAGTGAAGATGAAGACAGCTGACATTCAAGGAAGATACTGACTAGCCACGTGGCTTTATCAGACCAAATTTCAAGAAAAAATATGGATTGGAGCTAAAAATGTAGGACTACGGATATACAGATAGTATGAAGGCATTAGACTGAGAAATATGGACAGATAACAGTGGAATGCGATAGTAACAAGAAGGAAGTAGAGGTTAAGAGGACAGAGTCTTGGGCACTTCCGACAGTTAAGAGTTTAACGGAAAAAACGAACCCAAGAGGGATACTGTATAGTAGCCCCTTAGGTAAAATAAAAACAAAGGGGATCGCTCATAAACTCCAATATGATGAAAAGTCTCTCCCTCCAGTTCAAGAATGCTTGCTGACTATTTCATTCATTCCAAGGCATTTCTCACATACTGCTTTGTACGGATAGACATGAAAACAAGAAAACTGAGGGTAACATTTCTATTGTAGTATTGGACCCACGCTATTTTACTATAAGTTCCCTGAGGACGGAAATTAATATAGTCTTTATCTCTCTCTCTCTCTCTCTCTCACATACACACACACACACACACACACACACACACACACACACACACCCGCCCCAGAGGGCATTTGGAGTACGTTTCTGTCCTATCTTCACAAGACAAGAAGGTGCAAAGTCCACTCTCCAGAATCGACCAGACCCGGTCAGGCCTACCCAACCGCCGGATCCACCGACCCGAGCTCCTTCGAGACCCCGCCCGGTGCTGCGGAGGGAAGGCCCTGCACCACTGAAGGAGCGGAGCTGTCAACAGACACACGCCCGAAACCGGACGCGGGCAGGAGCCTAGTCGAGCTAGACTTGGAGCCGCCCAAACATGGGGTAGCGGCGCCCTGGCACGGTGATCGGAAACCACTGCGAGGCTGGTGGTGTAGAATACACACCTGGATGACTCGCTGCTTGAGCTTATTATCCACATACGCCGCAGGTCTGGGCTTCATCGCTTCTGCTTCTCAGGATAGAGCCTCCGCGGCCAGCTACACGTGAGCCGGGGACCTCCTACGGGCTGCCCGCCGCGATCGCCAGGCCAATTGCACCCGAAAAGCTCCCCGCCCTGTCTAGTCTGCTCTGTTCTCCTCAAGACAGAAATACTAAACGGAAGAGGACTAAGTAAGTACTGAGGAGAAGAAGAAAATTAGAAAATTTAAGGGTGTTTACAGGAAGCTTATTTTACAGGCATGTCCAACAGCCCCTGACTGACTAGGACCCCCCTCCCCCCAGAACACGCTCATCTTTATTGGTTCCCAGCTGGGTGAACTCTGGCCCGAAGCGGCAGCGGGAGGTTCCTGCACCTGCATGCAATCTGCAGAATCATTCCTGCACCCGCGTGCAGTCTGCAGAATCTGTGTAAACGTGGTTTCGCTTGTCACAATCTGGGCACACCCCGTTCGGATGCAAAGTTAGTTTATCATAGTCTATAGATGCTGGGAATGATTAAATCTGTATAAAACACACCGACTCCGTTTTTACTTCTCTGCTTACATTTTTTTTTTTTTTTTTTGGAGAGATTTTCACTGTAGGGCGCGTGCGCTCGCCAGACAGGCAGAGAGAGACATAGAGACAGAAAGCGAGAAATCACCCCCCGGGGGGATAGTCACGCTGCAATCCCTTCTCCTCCATTCTCCTCTCGGGATCTTGGGCACGCACGCACACGTGCCGGCGTGAGTTTTAAGCCACCGGGTCCGGGACACGAACCGCGGTCGACTACGTGGGAATCCAGCGACATAGCCATTACGCTAACTGCTAGTTCCCCTTACATTTTTGAGACCTAACGAAGGGGCTTGGTGTAAAAAGGGAGGACTGGTTTACTCTGAAAACTAAGTCATTTGTTACTTCCAGAACTAGTTTTGATCTTAGCCTGTTATCAGCAGATAATTTGCTGAGCTCCATGGCAAGACTTCTTAGCGTTGAAACTGCCCAGAATTTTATGAAACATAACCTGTCTGCCTCAGGAGGTTTATTGTGAGATTATGGAGACACAAAGGGACAATTGTCATTCATTATTCATTAAAAAAAAAAGTTACAGGCTTTAGTTTTTGTTTGTTTTAATTGTGTCTCTTGTGTTTTTCTTTCCCATCTTATTTGGCTTATGACAACATGAAGTACAGTCTAAGTAGTTTATTGAGCAGAAAAGAGGGAAGATTTCTTCCTCCCTCCAGCTCCTGTCAATCACCATTCCATTTTCTGTATGTGTGATTTTGAATGTAGTATCTGACTTTTTGTAACTGGCCTTATTTCACTTAGCATAATGCCCTCAGAATTTATCCATGTTGTAGCTTCTGTCAGAATCTTCTTCCTTTTATTATTATTAAGATTTTTGCTACAGGCACATGCATTCCCAAGAGAGAGAGAAAAAGAGGAAAAGTGAGAAATCGCCCCAGGGGGATTTTACAGGCATGTAAATCATCATTTACAATTCATTATTTTTTAAATTTAATTAAAGAGAGGGAAAGTGAGGAAGTAAGCCACCAGGTCTGAGACTCAAACTGTGGTTGGCCATGTGGGAGTCCAACAACATAACTGCTATGCCATCTGCTGGCCCCCAAGATTGTCTGTGTTTTCTATTCCATCTAAGGGGAATATATTTGAAACGAGGTTTGTTTCTAATAAAAACAAACTGAACTGGGGCCAGGCAGTGGTATAGCTGTAAGACACATATTTTGTGAGGCAATCCCATAGTGAAAGATTCCTGGTTTAAGTCCACAGACCTCCCTGAGTACAGTAGTGATTTTTTTTTTCTTTTCTTTTTTTGGAGAGGTTTTTTGCTATAGGGCGCGTGCCATCACCAGAAAGAGAGAGAGGCAGAGAGACAGAAAGCAAGAAATCACCCCCCAGAGGACTAAGTAAGTACTGAGGAGAAGAAGAAAATTAGAAAATTTAAGGGTGTTTACAGGAAGCTTATTTTACAGGCATGTCCAACAGCCCCTGACTGACTAGGACCCCCCCTCCCCCCAGAACACGCTCATCTTTATTGGTTCCCAGCTGGGTGAACTCTGGCCCGAAGCGGCAGCGGGAGGTTCCTGCACCTGCATGCAATCTGCAGAATCATTCCTGCACCCGCGTGCAGTCTGCAGAATCTGTGTAAACGTGGTTTCGCTTGTCACAATCTGGGCACACCCCGTTCGGATGCAAAGTTAGTTTATCATAGTCTATAGATGCTGGGAATGATTAAATCTGTATAAAACACACCGACTCCGTTTTTACTTCTCTGCTTACATTTTTTTTTTTTTTGGAGAGATTTTCACTGTAGGGCGCGTGCGCTCGCCAGACAGGCAGAGAGAGACATAGAGACAGAAAGCGAGAAATCACCCCCCGGGGGGATGGTCACGCTGCAATCCCTTCTCCTCCATTCTCCTCTCGGGATCTTGGGCACGCACGCACACGTGCCGGCGTGAGTTTTAAGCCACCGGGTCCGGGACACGAACCGCGGTCGACTACGTGGGAATCCAGCGACATAGCCATTACGCTAACTGCTAGTTCCCCTTACATTTTTGAGACCTAACGAAGGGGCTTGGTGTAAAAAGGGAGGACTGGTTTACTCTGAAAACTAAGTCATTTGTTACTTCCAGAACTAGTTTTGATCTTAGCCTGTTATCAGCAGATAATTTGCTGAGCTCCATGGCAAGACTTCTTAGCGTTGAAACTGCCCAGAATTTTATGAAACATAACCTGTCTGCCTCAGGAGGTTTATTGTGAGATTATGGAGACACAAAGGGACAATTGTCATTCATTATTCATTAAAAAAAAAAGTTACAGGCTTTAGTTTTTGTTTGTTTTAATTGTGTCTCTTGTGTTTTTCTTTCCCATCTTATTTGGCTTATGACAACATGAAGTACAGTCTAAGTAGTTTATTGAGCAGAAAAGAGGGAAGATTTCTTCCTCCCTCCAGCTCCTGTCAATCACCATTCCATTTTCTGTATGTGTGATTTTGAATGTAGTATCTGACTTTTTGTAACTGGCCTTATTTCACTTAGCATAATGCCCTCAGAATTTATCCATGTTGTAGCTTCTGTCAGAATCTTCTTCCTTTTATTATTATTAAGATTTTTGCTACAGGCACATGCATTCCCAAGAGAGAGAGAAAAAGAGGAAAAGTGAGAAATCGCCCCAGGGGGATTTTACAGGCATGTAAATCATCATTTACAATTCATTATTTTTTAAATTTAATTAAAGAGAGGGAAAGTGAGGAAGTAAGCCACCAGGTCTGAGACTCAAACTGTGGTTGGCCATGTGGGAGTCCAACAACATAACTGCTATGCCATCTGCTGGCCCCCAAGATTGTCTGTGTTTTCTATTCCATCTAAGGGGAATATATTTGAAACGAGGTTTGTTTCTAATAAAAACAAACTGAACTGGGGCCAGGCAGTGGTATAGCTGTAAGACACATATTTTGTGAGGCAATCCCATAGTGAAAGATTCCTGGTTTAAGTCCACAGACCTCCCTGAGTACAGTAGTGATTTTTTTTTTCTTTTCTTTTTTTGGAGAGGTTTTTTGCTATAGGGCGCGTGCCATCACCAGAAAGAGAGAGAGAGGCAGAGAGACAGAAAGCAAGAAATCACCCCCCAGAGGGGATGGCCACGCTGCAATCCTTTCTCCTCCATTCTTCTCTTGGGATCTTGGGCATGCACGCACATGCACCCAGTGTGAGTTTAAGCCACCGGGTCTGGGACTCGAACTGCGGTCAACTACATGGGAGTCCAGCGACATAACCATTACGCTAACTTCCGGTCCCAGTAGGGATGTGTTTGACCACGGTCTGAGGTTAGCTGAATGTGGAGGGAAGATTACAGTGCCAAACTCCTGTTGGGGGTGCTCTCTCTCTGTCTCTCTCATGGTTGAAATAAATAATCCTAAAAAAAATCTGGACTTGGGAACCAGCAGTTAGCGTAATGGCTATGTCGCTGGACTCCCACGTAGTCGACCGCGGTTCATGTCCCGGACCCGGTGGCTTAAAACTCACGCCGGGCGCGTGTGCGTGCGTGCCCAAGATCCCGAGAGGAGAATGGAGGAGAAGGGATTGCGGCGTGACCATCCCCCCTGGGGGGTGATTTCTCGCTTTCTGTCTCTATGTCTCTCTCTGTCTGGCGAGCGCACGCGCCCTACAGTGAAAATCTCTCAAAAAAAAAAAAAAAAATCTGGACTGGGCCAACAGCTGACAAGGTGGTTAAGGTGCTGAATCCCACATAGCAGACTCTGCAGTTTGAGTCCAGGACTCTGTGGCTTCAAAAATATGCCGGCCACTTGTGCATGTGTGCCCAAAATCATGAGAGGAGAATGAAGGAGGATTGTGGCATGACTGCAAGTGATTTCTCACTTTCCCTTTCTCTGTCTCTGGTGAAAAACGTGTGGACCCTATGACAAAAATAATCTAAAATAAATCCGAGCTTATTTCAATAAAATCTCTCCTGAATGTGGGTTATTTATTCAGCAACCATTTATTTTTGCTTTTGTTTTTGTTTTTAGGTTTTTGTCATAGGGTGCAGAGACAGAAAGAAGGAAAGCGTGAAATCCCCCCCTGGAGGGATGGGCATGCCACAATCCCTCTCAAGATTTTGGGCATTGGGGGAACCAGCAGTTAGCGTAATGGCTATATCACTGGACTCCCATGTAGTCGACCACGGTTCACGTCCCGGACCCGGTGGCTTAAAACTCACACCGGGTGCGTGTGCATGCGTGCCCAAGATCCCGAGAGGAGAATGGAGGAGAAGGGATTGCGGCATGACCATCCCCT